GGGCCGGGCCGGGCCGGGCCGCTCCCGCTCCTCGCCGCGGGGCCGTGTCCCCAGCTGATTGATGGCCCCTTAGGGAGGTGGCTGCCGTCAGGTAGGGCTGAATCAGACAGCTAACCTTACATCTTCTTTCTTCACCTGGAAGATCACCCTTCCATCCCTCCCCAAAACCCGAAGACCTGATCTCCGCGGATAGAAGTCCGTGAGGGCAGTCCTTTTTTGTTGTTGTGTTTGTGGTTTGTTTTGTTATTTATTTTTTTTTCCTTGCAGCCTGCCTCTCTGTTACAGGGGCTGAGCAAGTCGGGGACAAGTACGTGAGTGGAGAGGGGAGAGAAATGCAGATGCCCATTGCGCTTTGCATTAACTTTTCCCTTAGCCGGGCCCGTTTCCCTCCAGCCGAGAGCTGGTGCGCAGCAGCAGTTCTCATGTCTGTCTGTCTGTCTGTCCGCTGCTGGCCTGGGCTGCGTGTTACCTCCGTCCGTCCCCATCCCTTTCCTCAGCCTCCAGCCAAACAAAGGTGGGCTACGCTTTTATTTTTTATTTTTTTTTCTGCTCCTAAAGGCAGTTGGTGAGCAGCTTTCCTGAAACAATAACTCTCTTATTGAGAACAAATGTTGACATTTGCAGGGAGAGAGGAAAAAAGCAGCCCAGGAAGTGTAAAGTGGAAAGCGACCCTCTTCCTATTTGACGACAGCGCCAATTCCTCCGGGATCCCACCTGAGATTAAAGCCCGAATTTCAATAAATCAGCTCTAATGAAACCTCTGGCCCCGAAGAGGGAAGGGTTTGCCTTTCCCGCTCCGAAATGAGCAGAGAAACCAGGAGCGGGGGGTGGGGAGAAGAAGGAGTAAATATAGAAGGGGGTGTGAGATTTTAATCCCAGCGGGCTCATTAGCATCGTTATGAAATAAACCATACACGGAGTGATGTATTTTATCGTTCATCCCTCTTTTTTGCTACACTGAAATAATCACATTGTTTTTGCCAACAATCTAGCAAGGCTACACTTTCCTCCTGCTTTCAATTTTGATTACTAAATCTCAAATGATGTTGAATATGCAGTTCTCGCCCATTAGTTTCTTGTTTAAAAAAATAAATTCATATGCCAAATCATTTCAATGGCGCCCATCTGCATCCATGAACCGTTTGTGAATTTCTCAGAGGATGAGAGAAGTCCATTGGGTTTTACATACATAGTGAATACTTGAAAGCGAGTTTTCCAAGTCTTTCTACTTTTCTTTCCAGAAAGAAATCCAGGTCTAAATACTAGCAAGGGTGGGTAAATTATGGAAATCTTTTATAAGTCTTTGGGCGTATAAACATCAAAGGAATGTCATTAGCCTTTTTTAATCTCTGCCACAGCTTTTGGTTTTTACCAATTGAAATGTACACTTTGTGTCCAACAGAGACCTGGGACGTATAACATGGGTGGTGGGGGCTCATGGAGTAGGAACAGGAGTGGGGGAAAGAAAGTTCAGGCATCTCTCCTGACATAAAAATCCCCCCCGTAAAGCCTTCCTGGGCTGCACAGTACAGACGGTCAAGGGTGATTATAGTAAATATTTGCAATCTGCATCATATGCTAAACTGGAGGGAAAAGAATTAATTACTTCTTAGCTGTTTGCCTAATTGTACTACACACTGCATGCAGATACAATTGCATTCTACCTCAGTGAGAAAGAGGATGTTACAGGAGCGAAGAAGCATCATTCCACAAACACCATAGGAGCATGAGTAGGCCTCCAGCTGCAAAGATCTTCACTGCTTTATATTTAGCTAGACAGATCCCAGAGTATTCCAGGATAACGTTATTAATTTCTGCCCTTTCAGCTGAAAAACACATGCATTTTCTCAGTCAGTTAGATGTCTTTATAGGGGTAAATTACAAAGAGAGGCGAGGGGGGGTGTGCAAGGGAAGATGGATCATGGGAATTGTGTATATGCATTCAAGAAAAACAGCTTCCTTTCCCCCTGTTTAATATAATCACTACATATTTACGGACTCCAGACTAGCAGAGCTCTTTATCCAGTTAACCTTCCCAAGGCTGATGCCTGAAGTATCTAAGATCACTTTCAAATGCCCTTTCTAACAAGACCTGAGCAAGAGGCCACTAATTTTCACTGAACAAAAAGCCACTGGAGAGAGATCCGTTTGTCAATATCAACTGGTCCAGCAATTTCCCATCTTCAGACACATCAGCCTATCTGAGCTGGCAGATGTTTAGACAAGATTTTATAAATTGTTCAATATCAGACCATAATGAACCCCAACTGACCATTCCAAAGCAGCTAAAAGCATTCAGGATCTCCCCTGCTGGGATCTAATAATGCTCTCACGCTGGAACATTATTAATCATGGAATAAAATAGATGAGCCTCTTGAAAAATAAGTGTATGATTGATTAAAGGGCAATCTAAGAAGCTATTATTCTTGTTTTATAACCGTAAGTTATATTCACTCAATTTATCTTTTGGGGAAAATAAATGATTGTTCATTTCTTTTCTGAAATTATATTATATGAAGATTCCCATTATTTTACTAAAAATTGAAATTATGAGTTGGCTAATTTTGTGATTCTAATCAGAGCAGGTTTCCAATGTAACTGTAAAGGTATACTTTACCAATATAAAGAGGGAAAACCATAAAAAAACCTCAAAGAGGTATTGGACTTTTAATTCTTTTTTTTTCTCCCCTGGCATATTTTAGCCAGAAGCCAAAAAGAAGTAATTAGAAGTAAGTCATAGCCGATAATATTTTTTTCCCCCATAAATAGTGAATTTAAAGAATAACTCAAATAAAGAGCTACTTCATACCCAGTATAAATAGTTTATAAAAAACATGCATATATTCCCATCACCCTTTCTATGCATATTCACGTGTATATACAAATATGTATTTGTACCTATAAGTGTATTTAAAGCTTAAGTATAACGGAACAAGCCAAAAGGAATTAATTTATGCAAAGTATATATTTGCAACATGTTTAAATTGCTTACTCATTTCCTGATCTGAGCTTTACTAGTGAAATTAGAAATTTCCTCCTTTTCTAATTAATAAATTAGTATTTTGAGGGGAATGAACGAAAAACACAGCATTGTTGCAGACTAGTCTGTTTTTATTTACAATTAGAGATATAAATTAGTAAAGAATTCTTGTTAAACAACCAAAGATTGTATAACCATCAACGTTTCAAATAAAAACCAGGCAAAATTTATTTACAAAAAGTTCAGATTCCATTGCAATACAACTTGCATAAATTACTAGAAGCTTTATATCGTTACAAAAATAAATATCAAATTTGTTTCCACTTTGTAAGGACTCAAGTTCTCCAATCACGTCTTTATTATCTCTACTGTATACATCTTTTACAAATAAATTTTACAATAAATCCTATCACACCTATTGAATAGATACCGTGGCAATGAAGTGATCAATTCAAGATATCCTGAGAAAAACAGATCTGTTTTCAAAAGTCACACATACATTGGGGAAACTATACTATACCAGCAAACTCACATATGTCCAACAAAATTCTGGTTTAATAATTAGATTCTGAAGATTTAATAGTGCTCTGTGGTCTTCTTTTATACAGTGGCACCAGATGTGATCCGGATTTAGAGATTTGTTATATATATTAGCTCGGGGAGAGATGATGGCTTGCTGACTTTTTCAAAGCAATTGTGACACCTACCTGTGGACCAAGGAAAAAACCAGATCATCCAAAAATCCTTCAATTAAACTCTAACACCACTAAACGGGGTGGGCGGGAAAGGAAGTAAGGCAAAATTCTTACTCGTCTAATTTCTTCTAACAAAAATAAAAGTTAGTCGATAAAAATAACTGCAAGGCGATTTTTTTTGTTGTTGTTGTTTATTTAGCTCTAAATAGTGGAAGTATTCAGAGTGCCTTTGCTAGCTAGACAGGAGCCAAGTCACAGGTAATATACCTTGCTTAAGATTCATGTCGGTTTCTTACAGTTGTCCCTTTTCATTTTAAATACTCAGTCACTGCGTGAAGCCCCGCTCAGGATGTACAATTTTAGCACTGCCACGTGAGCACAAGCACTCTGTTTTTAAATAATAATACCTTCAAAGGTATTTTTTTCCCCCCAAAAGATTTCTTTCCGTAACTTTTAAGTAGGCCCTACGGCTTTGCCTTACACAAGCGAAGAGTATGCAAAGTGAGGGAACTGTCTAACCTGGCTTGAAAATTAAGACAAAGCCAAGAAAGAAAAGTCGTCATAAGAGGTTTCCGAAAACAACAGAAAAAATAATATTTTACTTTGTGACCAAACTCAAGAAAGGAAGGAAGAAATTAACGTTAAGCAAGTCTAGAACTGTGCAGCACGTCTCAGACCTGATGCCAAATGACCAGTGTAATAGAAAATGTTCTCACTTACTTGCATTGCTGTGTGATTGCACTTCTATAGGTATGGTTGTACTCCTACTGTGCAGACTTCAGTGGGATCTGTCAAAATAGAACCGTCAGTTAGTCACAGGACACAGCCAGCTAACTAGATTATACAGTCTGTGTAGGTCTCAACCCTCACTGGTGCAGAATTCGTAGCTGGGTCTTTTAAAAGACTAGCCAACATTTTATATTTGCCTGTATGTCGAGTAGTTTTTGTAGACTAAGATGACAACCATATTAGTGCAAAACTATTTCGGAAAAAAAAAAAACCCCAAACCCCAAACAAACCGAGAAGCAACCAGTTACAAAAAATGTCACGCTCCACGTAACTTCACGTCCAAGGTCAGCAATTATCTGAACCCAAAGCTGAAAAAAAACCCCCGTGAGAATACTGGAGACAAAGAGAGTCAAACCAGTTTGTCAGGAAAAAAAAAATTACAGGCAATGACACCGATGCTCTCCGGATAGCTTTGTGTGTAGTTTTCCTTTTTTTAAAAAATTACTTTTCAAAGCTGCATCTGCAGTGAGACTGATCTAAAAGTCGTCTTTTACATTTCCTCTCGGTTCTCCTCGCGGTTCTTAGGGGCAGGTACCGATACGACGGCGACGTGCCGGTTTTAATCCCCAAGATATATGAGTGCCCATTTTCGCTCTGGTAGCGGTGCCACCGAGCTAGCTCAGCTTTTTCCAGACAAGGTTTCAGTGTTAACAGCCCACAGGGGACATCTGCGGGTCGGGGAAGGAGGACGAGGGAGAAAAGGGAAGAAAGCGGAAGAAACAAGTCACCTACCTTTCTTAGAGTCATAGCTAGAGGGCCTGTAATGCTGTTCTAGCTGGTTAGTGATCGTTTTCAAAGAGTCACTGCTCTGTTTGTGGACAGAGCTGGCATTTAGGACAGTCTGACTTAGTCCCTCGTTTGATGCCACTGCTGCGGAGTTGTATCTCAGGATTCCCTGGCTCTGCAGAGCGTTAAAGTTCCCATAGTTTGTATAATTGCTATAAAAAGGTGAGGTGTAATAAATATGCCTCCCCAGGAGGGAGGAGGGCGAGTAGGCAGCGCTGTGCGGGGCGGAGGCGGGGGTGGCCGAGGAGAGCGGCGCAGGCTGGCAGCCTTGGCCCAGGGTCTGACTCTTGAGGTCCGAGGTGGCGATTTCGGCCAGAGACCAGAGCTTGG